TTGATTCAAAATACCTATGTCTTATGTACATATTTTGGATGTCCTACTTAGTAAAACTTGGTTAAATTCAGGACCTCATAAAAATGCGAATACATATCCTATTTCATTTGGTTCCTAAATTACAATCAGATATGAGTAAGGCTTTCTTCAGGTGATTCATTGAAGCGTCCAACAATGACCGTCATGATGGCTGATATTCCCTATTTTCAAGATTTCAAGGACACAAATCTTGGACGGTTGTGACATCACTCATGAAATTGAAACTCCTTGTGTACTGGACTGCAACAAACGTGAAGTTCCAGTTTCTTTGTTATAAGTTTTGTGAGAGCTGATATCTGTACTCTTGAAATTTTTATGTGGTAATGAGATTGATCAGAAATAAGGTTTCCTCAGCGATTCAACTTCAAAACGCTAAAAGGAGTGCACAATTTTGCACCAATGTTATGCAACATTTCATAATTGATCGGGATATCAATTAGCCATGAATCCCTTCAATAAGTTCTCGGTACATCTTTTATCTACCGATTGAACAAATAAAAAAAAATACTAAGACTGTGTTCCATTTGGAAAATTTTCACTTAGATTTGACACTTCGAAAATAAATTCAGATGTTCGAAAATCCCTCTAATATAGATCGTCCGATTTTCGAAAAAGCGTCTGTCAAAAGTGATTTCTTGTCGGTCAGAAATACGTCTGCTGGAAAAGCAGGTTTATTTGAAAATTTTCCATCTGTCAAATTTAAGTAAAAATTCACCTAATGGAACACAGCCTTAATAACTTGAGCAAAGAATCGGTTCCTTGTTGTGTTTGTCAGATACTAAATAAAAACTTCTTTTATCGATATGTGTGCTGAAAATACCTGGGCCGAGTGGATTCAAGGAGAAAGTCGACGAAGAGAATATTGTCAGTGTTACCTAGGACCTAATGCAATGTTCAGCTTGAATTGTTTCGCTTAGCTGTAGCAATGTAAACAGAAAATCGATGACGGGAATCGAACATTACAAGTAGGCCCGTTTGAACGCTCACTGTCGAATTTCAGAACCTAGCACTGAAAAAAAAAACTCGACGATACCTCTATTAATGCTAAGAGATAAGCATTGCAAGTCCCTCCTACTTGAAGAATTATGCAATTGAACGGCTTACTATGACTGCTATAGCATAATTTTCCAAGTAGGAGGGACTTTCATAGCTTATCTAAAAGCATAACTAAAGGTACCATCTGATAATTTCAGTGCTTGGTACAGAAAAATGTAATTTGTGTAGGAAAATCCTTTATATCACCACAGAACCACCCCGTTCCCGCTTTCTTATAAAAAATAATGAATGTGCGTTCACAAAACGCACGAAATCTTAAAAAAACCACATTAGGATTTTTTTTTAATTCAATCAATAGATTAAAGATGTACCGAGAATTAAATGGAGGGATTTCAAGCTAAAATGTTCTGACCGCGATACGACGATCAATACCGAAATTTCATTCAAATTTCATAAATGTCCAACCCGTTTTGTGTGGTGTGCTGCTGATTTTCAGTGTTGCCCAATGATTAGGAAACTTTCATAAATAACGTAGTAGTTGAGGGAGGAGAGGGGTTTCAGAAGTTGGGACCGGCAATCTATTAGGTATATTGCAAAACACGCTCCGAGGAGGAAGAGGGGTTAATTGGTCTAATATATACGTAATTTATGGATGGCCATAATTTTACTTCCAAGGCTGTGTCGCAATGAGCGAGTTAAATTTAACTCGTGGTTAAAAGCGACAGATGAGTTATCGAATAACCCTGTTATACGAGCGTGGTTATTTCGGATTTTGGTAACCGTTGCTGAGTTTTGTTTGAAAAATGATCAATTTCCGGCATTTTCAAACATTGAAAATAACTTTCGAAATGTCACGTTTAACCTCGAGTTAAATTTAACTCGGCAATTGGTATACAGCCCAAGCAGTATTGCTCGATTACTTTTTCGAAGGGCCTTACCAGCTTTTGTAAACAACGCATTTGATCGTCGATTTGGCGTAACTGGTAGCTCACTCACGCATGCTAACACTACCATCAGATAGAGGAAATTTTCCCCTACCTGATGTAGTGGTGTTAGTATGTGGGGCGAGCTATCAGTTATGCCAAACCGACGATAAAATGCGTTGTTTACAAAAACTGATATGTCCTTTCGAAAAAGTAATCGAGATTTGTAGTTACAATTCAGGCAAGGAGCGCCGCTACCAGGTGCAAAACTCGGATTCTGAGCGCTTGATAGGAACCGCCTTCCTACTGCTAATGCTGCTACTGCTACTGCTGCTGCTGCTTACCCGCCGTCCGAAGCAAAAATGAGTTAAGGCACATTAGCACCGCTGTTTTATAACTTTTCAGATTCAAGTAGCACGATGTGCAACCAAATTGTACTTGATTATGAGGACTGGGCTTGGGAAGAACGTTTATTTCATGAAAACAGTGATAAAATTATCACTTTTTATTTGTACATTCTTAAAACATTTTTTTTTTATGAAAACTTGAAAAAGCGTTTATTGTAACAGCTTACGAAATTTATTTCCTATCGATTAGTTTATTTGGATTTTAATTTCATCTATAAATGACAACGTTGTAAAGGTTCAAAACCTTACACCTTTGCGTGACGGTCGCAATTTTAGATTTTCGATTTACCCCCAGTACCTTCCCGTAAGACGTAGTTTACGTCAAAATAACATCCCTTCTAACGAGCAGTCAGAAATCAGAACAGCTGAGCATCAGAAGTCCGTTCAAAATTAACGAAGATAATAAAATAAAAAGTTAAAAATTGGGCTAAGGTTAGGTGCTCGTACCTATTTAAAGAGAAGAAAGGATTATTTATGGATATTAATTAATATAATCCAGAAATACTTCAAGTCCCCGCGTACATCGTACGGGTTAGGCAAAAATGTGCGTCTATCTTGAAAAACTGTCGCATTAATGGCCCTTCGCTCATTTTCAACTTCTATTCAATTTTCATACTGCCGTACTCTAACGGAACTATCCACCTACCCTCTTCTAAAGATCATTCTCTAGCTAATAAATCATCACACTAAAGCTTCATGTTAGCATTTCCAACCAACTCTGATAATCCAGAGTTAAACATACATTCCACTTATTTGGAAAATTTGAGAAATCTGTATATTTTAAAAACATCTGTAATTTGTGCATACAGATATCTATATCAAAATGATGAGAAAAATCTGTATCATTGTGGCATCACTGAGACGATGATGAAAAGACCCACCTCGACCGGAGGAAAGACTTCATGCAGTAGGACGCATGACTAGGCCACCGTCATCCGGTCAGCATCGACTTTCACTGGTGTGGCCTCAATTTAAGAAACAACCGGGCCTTTTCAGGGACACCAATTCAAAAACGGAAAGAGTTAGGAACTAAATGATCATCATATTTGTTCCGTCCACTAGCGGTACTATGTCAAGCTTCCGTTTGTGCCGGAATTTACGCGGTTTTTTTTCACACGGTTTAATTTTATGTGGCACGTATCCCCCGCGTAAAAAGCAACTCCAGTGTACTTAACGATCTTTTCTTGTATCTTACAACTGCAAATTATAATATCGTCAAATGATTTGCTAATTCCTACAATCATTGTTTTACAGCAAACGAATGGCCACAAGCCTGCAGACAATCACAAATGGCAATGTTAACTGTTTCATTCATGAACTGCATTTGCAAGGCAGTCCGAGTAAACATCATCGAAATGTTCTTCTCTCTAGCACATAAATTTTCTGATTGTCCAATGTTTTAAAGTCAATATGTTTCGAGATACGTACACCTCACACAATATGTATCGTTTCCATGTAAGGGGCACGAATTTTGAAAACTTGAACTTCATTATTTATAAAGAATACGTCACTTTATGTATGTACTGCCTTATTATTATTTTTTAACTATCCTAAATCGTCACATCGCTATTAAAACATCGTTGTTTGTGTCAGGTAAGACGGTTTTTGTCCCATACTACCTGCCTTGACACATTTATTGGACAAAAAACAAACAAAATTGACCTGGATTTTTTAGAAAACCCATATCCATTATCATCAATTACACCCCGTCCTAACCCGTAGTCTGGGTAGCGAATTTCGCTACCCCGAAGGAAGTGCACATGTTCGCTTGCTAATATTTTTTCTGGCCATCACTTTTTCCATCTCTCAGGGTAGATCCTAACAATGATCGGCCGGGGTTTCTTTACGGTAATTAGGACCTTACTGCCCAAATAGAGCCCCGGAAAAGGGGGCGTCAATAAAAATCAACCGGGACCCAAAACAAACCATAAAACAATAAACGATCCGTGCGTCCTAGTGCTGCCCCGAGTTCTCCGTTATGATAGCACACTCTGCTCTGGAGTGTTTAGATCTCCGTCGCGAGGTGGCGATCGCTTTGATCATACGGGTGCTGCCACGAGCAAACGACAGTCGGTGGTATTGGTTGAGGTGAATATACCAACACCAGCCCACCGTCAAACGACGAACGACGTGTGGATAAAATAAAATTGAAGCATCAAACCAGATCAACGTTAGATCTGGATTCCGCCTCGTTTCTAATATCGCACATGTTGGGCAAGCGACGGTGGTGGCAGAGCGCGATGATAGGTGAGACTCCGCCCCTCGGGACCGGCCGGTTCCATGCGCTGATTGGTTCGATCGTTTCCCCTTCTATCGTTCGTGCCTTGTGATGCGGGCGCGTGCTACCTGTTGCGATTGAGTTGAGCAAGCAGCATGCTTCTTTGCCGTCTCCGTTGCCCACTATATTCTTCACACTGTTGCAAGCAAGAGCGTGGTGTGTTTCTGCTCTTGTAGGGTGTAGACTGTCTCGATGGGGTGGTTTATAGTGTAGCATACGCAAGACGGAGTACCAACACAAGCATAGGAACGTCTTGGGATCGATTCTTCGTGCTTGCAAGGGGGTTTTTTTTCTTCCGCTGGTGTACCGAACCGTTCGGCGCTGAATTTCGGTTTCAGTTACTGAATGTGCGCGCTCTCGATCACATGGTGTGCAGGTTGTGGTGTTGTGGAACCGAGAGAAGGTTATTGTTTTGAACTCCTCTCAACCGGTTGAGCCCGAGTCGAGTGGTGTGTGCCTTATGCAGGTCGTAAGAAGCCCCGTGAGGTTTTATGTTGCAGCAACGGCAGCAGTGACCAGCTGGTGCACCGATAACGAGGTACGACGGGCGCGCGCCTCCAGTGGTGTACGCATTGTGTTTTGTGCTTGTGTAGTGGTGGTAGCTGGTGAAACCCCCGGTGGGTTCTGGCGCGATTGAGTTGAGCCCTTCTGGTGCAGGCAATCAGTGATCCGGCAGCGTGCGGGGTTAACAGTTCCGAAACCCCGGTCCAGCGAAACAGTTTCCGCTTTTTTCAGTCTGACTCGCACTGCGGACGCATCGTGTACTGTGTGTGGATGGTTTTTAGCGACTGGTCGCGGCGGATTTATTGTGCACGCGTACTGATAAGGAAGTGTTATCGATTAAAAAAAAAACAAACAAAACAAAAAACTAAACAATTGTTAAGAATATGATCTTGTTCGGATTTACAAAAAATAAACACAAACAAATCGCAGCTCCTCGCTGAATACGGTGGAAGATAATTGGATGCGTGTTAGGAGAAAACACCAAACCAGCTAATCGTTGGTAAACAGTGAATGAATTACAAATTAACGAGTTACTACAAATTGAAAGCAGAACAACCAGAACACAATAACAACAAACCTCGCCTCGGCTGCTCTGCTAGTTTGAAGTGCTTATCAGATCGGTGTTAATTGTTTGCCACACGACCACCGATCCTGGCCTAACCCGTGGAAGGTTCGAAAATCTGGAGCGAAAATTGATAGTGAAAACAACAAGCTTGGATTGAACTGGATGGATGGATTTGGAGACAAAGTGATCTGATTGACGCAAGATTAGTGCGGTACTGATAAATGTGGTGATAATACGGTTATAACGAGGAACACAAACAGCAGACTTTCGAGAGCAATTGGAACCCATCAAGCGGCAGTAGTCTCTGTTTGCGTGTGTATGTGTGTGCGGCCAAGTGATTGAAACGATAGTAACGAGCTCTGATTGTGTTCGATCGACTGTGTTAATTAAATTTACTCTTTCGGAAGTGTTAACCGGAGAGCTATGGATAGCTGATTGGAAGTGTGAAGATTAAGCTTTGTTTGAAGAAAAGGAGGAAATTCCTTCGGTACCATTAGAATTTCACAGTCGACTCCGGTCCGGACAAGGCAGACATATCTGGACGAGAATAGCTGATCGCGAGTATTATTCAAGGTGAGTGGTGGAAGGTGCCAAGGTGGGAAACGTTGGGACGACCATACATGGCGATATTGACAGAACAGCTTTCGTCACACACTCGGGGAAAAATTGATCGTCAAAGGAAACTATGGCAATTGTCAGTGACAATGTAGTCAAGTATGAAGATGTGCAATGTTTGTTATTAGTTAAATGGGTAGCTAAACGAAAATAACTTAGCAAACTAAATCTATGCAACCGTTAAAGTGAGCAAGCATTTACGTCCTTAATTGTCTGGGTTATAATAATGTTTAAAATAATGCATGAAATTACAGTTTTGACGTAAGATTTTGACGAAAGTTTCTGTAATAGCCAATTCCAGTGTCAATGTCAAACATAATTTTGTCAATATCGCTTGAAATATTTTAATTGCAATGACAAATCTCAGCACTGGCGTATGATAATTAGTAAGAATTAATTTTGTATGATTGTATATCTAATTAATTTTCTTATAGAACGTTCTTTGAACCACACGGTCGTTTAGTCTTACTCAATTACTGAGTAATTTGGTATCTCTTTTTCTCTCATGGAAGCATTACTAAACTTTCATAAGGTTACATAGAGTTTTGAGTAAACCCAATTTTTATGGTATCTGCGTTATACAATTTTACTCAGTCACTGAGTAAGAATGAACGACCATGTAATGGAAGGTGGATTGAAGTTCCGCATATGATTTAAAATTCCCGAGATTTTTTTTACCGACGGGCTTTTGATTAACAGCAACGATAATCGTACAAACTTTTGATTTAATCACAACTTCTATAATATCCTTGATATAACCTGTGACTCCTATAAAACGTTCAATTAATCAGAATTGATTAATGAATTAATAAGTTGTCATATATGCATAATGTCCATGATATATGATACCATGATATGTTCCTCCAAGGTAGACAACAATTTCAATTTCCTTAACCATGAAACTACTAAAGTTGATCATGTGGTCTAGGATCAACATTGGGTGCAATGCATACGACTTTAAATTGCCAGTCGACACGAGATGAGAAGTCGTACTCAATGCACCGAATAATCAAATTTCCAAGATGAGTTTTGCAAATCAACATGATCTGGCTTTCATGTCCAACCAAACCATTCAAACATTTAAGATGTACAACAAATTCTGAAACATTTAGGATAATCAATACGAATGATCATAGCCATGAAAGGTTCGTCGCTTATTGCTTCGTGCTGTCGAATGAATGAGTGTTGGAAAATTTCTGCAGTACCATAATTTCATCGATGTTTAGAAATAGACTTGAACGATATGGGTGGTAAATCTGGGGAGTGAAATTAGTCTCAATAGAAAATTGATCAAGAGCAGCAGGAAAAAGTGAAAAATTTGTTTTGAATAGATATTATCTAAAGCTTGGGGATGACGGAGATTCATATTTTGTTTAAAATTATTATGCTGGTATGGCAATGTTGATCAATGACTTCTTCCGCGAGTTTTTCGAAAGTTAGGTGAGTTAGATTATTCGATAGAATTGGTTGCTACAGGGTGGATGGACTTTGAATTACGAGTAATTTACGAAAGAAGCTATTGGTTATGTTTGCGACATTGGTCCTTTTGAATGCTCAGTGTCGAAATGTTATCCAGTTCTGTATCTGAAGCCTAATACTTATAAGCAATTTGGCTAAAGACTGCTTTCTGATTGAATTAAAGTGTTGTGCAAAAGTGAAGCTCTCTATCCATTAGACACAGAATCTCAAACAGGGTGAAATTAAATCTTGAAAAGGTATGAAACACAGTTTTATTATCGGAATGGAAACAACGGTTCTTAAAACTCAAACTCAATTGAACATTTGGCCGAAAAATGATAAGTTGAAGAGAAAAGCTCATGAAATTACACTCAAACTTTAAACCAATGCACAGAGTTTTCATCATGGGCCATAAATACCCTCTACATCGTCTGGGCTTGGATGTAGATTTTAAAGCGCAATACTTAATTTTTACAGATTTGAGTGAAATTTTTCGAAATCAGTTCGTACATTTAGTTTAATGGCTTAAAATTAACAAGTGAATTTGAAGTATCCAAAACGTTATTTTTTGCTTGTTTGGTTTTGGTACATATTATGTTATTTTTATCATTTGTGTGAAATAATCCGTTTACTTTCAATTGTTTAGTTGACTGTCTCAATATATTTTCCTGATAAAAATCACTGAACAATTTTGTAAGCCACGCTGTAGCTGTGCATCTTTGCGGCCGTACTTGTACAGTGATTGCTCAAGTGTCTCATGTCGAATCCTATTTCTGTATTATGCAATCTTTGAAAATTGTGGGCATAGTAAATCGTTACTGATTTTCAACCATGATCCCAGACAATCAAAAGCCGAATAACATTGCATCCATAGAATCCTAAATTATAACCAGGGTGTCTTTCATTCATTTTGGCTGAACACATTTTGCAAGAAATTATGGAATAATAATGTATTACGATGGTATTTTGTATGTGTAAGGAACAAGAAAAGATGGTGAATTAAACTTTTCCAAAATCGAATTTAGCTTTTCTAAAGTCAAATTTAGCTTTAGAGTAACAATGAGCGATTTTCTGATCACCTTTTCACGAAGCGTGTTGAGCGTAGAGTGGATGAGAAAAATAACCAAATCACTTATTGCGACTCTCATGTAGCAAAATTGGCAATGTGGGAAACACAAACTTCACAATCTTTTCTTGTAACTAACACAAACACAATATTGTCATAATTTCTTATTATTCCATAATTTCATATAACATTTTTTAGCCAAACTGAATTAATTAAAATGAAAACTAACCTATATAGGACAAAATCATACATAAGTATGTAGTTCATCTTAGGGGTGGTGACAGTAAAATGGACATCTTGAAAATGTCTTTGATACATCAGATACAACAATCAGCCTAATCAAACACGAATGTAATTTTTAGTGTTTTTCTCAGCGATAATCATCCAGAACGATCATCCCGAGCAAAATACAGCATCAAAATTACAGCAAATCGAAATTAAATTTTACTGCAATCGAAATTAAACATCAAACTGTAATCATTATTTGGTTAAATTTTACGCAATTGACAAATTTAATAGCAAATTTTGATTTTATTGCCTAAGCATTGAATATTCGTTTTGTTATCAACAGAAAAAAAATGCACATCAAATTGAGTTTTCAGTTTGCTCTCACTGATAGCAAAATTAGTTCTCAATGTGATGTTGATATTTCAACCGTTTATACAACCAACATGACAGTGACCTGAGTAATCATTATCAGCGACATCACAACATCAAATTTAGTTTTCAATTTGGTCTCAGACTTTGCTCGGGATTGAATCAAGTTTTCAAATAATAAGATTTAGCTGATTCCACCAACTCTACTTCAATTTACCAATATGTAACCATTCCTTAGGGTCATGGATTGCCTAATCAGCTAAGGCACGGAGGTGGCGAGTTTGATTCCTTCCCTTCAAACATTGAAAGCTGAATAAGAGCTTATTCAGCTAAAAAATTGCTAGCATTTAATCAGCTCTAATGGTTTGTTGGGTGGTATGTTCTAGAAAATCATTCAGGTTGGAAATTTTATCGACTTTTCTGGGCATAGAAGCAATACAAAGTCTGCATGTTTTTAAGCAAATTTGTAATCGATACTTACTCGATACTTAAACACGTTGCACAGTGGGGAAAAATCGACCCAAAATCCCACTTAATTAGACGGCGCACGTTAGGAGTCCTGCAAAATAGCCTATCTTATGTGAAAAAAATTTTTGTTTGACTTCGGGAAGTGGTCCGTTTTGCCCGATTTACCACTAATTTTTGAAGAAAAATATAATTATCATCCATAAACTGAACTTGGTGCGCTTAGATTAAGCCAACGTGAATTTTATCCTTGTAAAATTAGCTGGGGAGTTGAAAGGAGCTAGTTTTACTTTGATCAGACGTCAATAAGTGGTCCATTTTACCCGATTTCCCCTTGGCCAATTAAAACAAGATTAAACACTCGGAAAGCATTATTTGACTGAAAAAATATTGAGCTATTTGCATTTAACTTTTGTACAATCATCCAAGAAATCGAACGGTGTGAGCCCTGTCTTATGGTGACCTCTGAAAAATCCTATTTTACCCTATATTCCGCTCAAACTTGAACAAACTCCTATATCATGTGGTTTTATATATTGGCGTCACGCAATTGCACTATAGTAATGTAAAAATGTCCGGAGAATCGAATGATGATGGTCCAGACTTAAGGACATCTGTTTTGCCCGATCTCCCCTCAAATTATAAAAACAAAATAAATCAAGTGGATATTTGAATTGGTACTATAATGCATAAACGGATATGCACCAAATTAACGTGGAATTATCCTAGGAATCGAATGGTGCGAGCCCCGTTTTATGGTGACCTCTGCAAAACCCCATTTTACCCTATATTCCCTTCAAAATTGAACAAATTCTTACATTATATGGTTTTATAGATCCCATTTTAATTTTCTTCAAAACTGAATTTTTGAATAAAAAATTAATCTGACCACCAAAATTTTCGTAATCGTAAATGAACTCTGCAACTTCGTTCTAGAAAAGTTTCGAAAAACTGCCAGACAGCTTGTCCCAACACAGAAAAAGCAGTGGTACGAAGCAAACTTAAAATGCGTTTTTCTCGGCTTGTTGATTTGCCATGAGCGGCAGATTATTCAACCCACTCAAAAAGTTCTTCAAGATGGAATTCTTAAAATTTGATCATTTGTAATGAACGTTATTTAGCATAAGCAGCTTATTTAGGCAAGAAATGGCTTATGCAGCTGAATGTGTGTTCAGCTAACTAGAATGTGTGTTGGGGTTTATCACATTGACTACAATTGTGGACATTAGTGTATTTCGTTTTGCAAAAAGTGTTTGATTTCTTATAGGCCACCTTCCAGTTCCATTCATAACCCCAAAATATAAATCTGTTCAAAAAATGGTAAAGATTGATGGACGTGTAGGACGGTTACGCAATTCGTTTGAATTTTGTA